AACAATACCCTTACTATATTCCAGAGTTATCCTGATCGTAAATGATAAACAATTATTACCATTTGTTTACTGTTTATACGATACTAAATCGAGGTAAACACCCTGAATGACTTAGTATACTACCATTGATATATACATAATTATGTACTTGCATTCCAAATTGTAAGTTGTTTTAGTTTTTCTAGATACATAACTTTTACGACGCATCTAGACATAGCATATATCTAGGTGCATAGCAAAAGCTACATGTCTAGAAAAGTCAGAATGACTTATAAATTGAAACAAAGGGGTATGTACAAATCAAATATGCTAGCAAGTAAACATATTGGTGCTTGTAAAATGTATGTATTCTAGCAAGTATTTTTTAGGAAAAAACTAAATCCCAATCCTTATATTTTTGATGATTTTAATTATTGGGTGCTAATGTGGTGCCTGAAATCTTCCTATTAACTGAATAGTGAACTAGACAACAATCCATCCTACCTAATCACATTTACTTCTGTTATGTTCATACTGTTTAAAACCTTTTTTCTGTTTTGATAATTTTTGCTCCATGCCAAAATGAGAAGTGTATTTTGATAAGAAAAATGATATAAAATAGGTTTGTTTTAACCCTTAACCTCTCTTACTGTGTTGTAAATTTTGCTAAAGCATCAATATTACCTCATAGACACTCTAAATACAAATATATTGATACAAACTTTATGTCCTACACTTTGTATATAATTTGCATAGTTGTTGGCCAACGCTTATCATTGTAAGCTTATCATGTGAAAACGAATTTGATTCCTACATGACTTCTATGACATTCCTGCATTCCAAAGGGCCCTAAAACTCTTAGATGGCTTCGATATTAGTTGTTTTATTACATATGAAACTTTTTAGTGTAAAAGGCTAGGGATGAAAACGGTACGGATATTTTCTGACCGTATTCGAGACCGAATCCGTTTAGAGGGGTTCAGATCTATCCGTATCCGTATCTGTATCCGAAAACGCAAATCGCATATTTATGATGTCGACGTCGAATCGTATCCTATCCGGTATGGCTGATAGCCTGGGCGTTCGGGTTACCCGAAAAATTCAGGTCAAGTAGTTTGGGTAGTTAGAAATTCGGGTAGAAATCACTACCCGATATTGGTCGTGAAATATGACTACCCGATATTTTGGGTACCCGAATCAGGTACCCGATAATTCGGGTTTGGGTTCTACCCGAGATTGCAGAAAGAAAGCATGTGTACGCCGAGTGGGAGGAGGCAGACGGTGAGACTCGGCGTCAGTCGTCGGGGACTCGGACACACTAGCATAGGCGGCGCCAGGTCGCCAGGACGCTAGCACCGCAAGCACGCAGGTTTGCTACCTCGCGCCGGGACGTCGGGCGGGGGCGGCGGCTCGGCCGCGTGAGGCGACGGGTGGTGGCTCGGCCGCATGGGGCTGCAAGCAGCGGCTTGGCCGCGTGGGGTGTCAGGCAGGGGTGGCGGCTCGGCCGTGTGGGGCAGCGGGCGGGGGCTCTCGGTAGGCGGCCACGCGTCGGGGCTCCTCCAGCTAGGGCTAGATATAGAGCTAGCTCGACTCGGCTCGGTCCAGCTCGAGCTGGCTCATTAGGCTAACGAGTCAGCTCGGCTCGGCTCGTTAATATTACGAGCTAGAGGGGCAACTCGGCTCGGCTTGTTACCGAGCTCGAGCTGGCTCGTTTAGTTCGCGAGCTACTAAAAAAATAGGACACACATGATTATAATGTTTATACTATATTAATTTCGGAAGGTGACGTCCATCATTATACAATCATACATGATTAATATATATCAGGTTCATCAAAAGCATTAACCATGCAACATAGTTGGTCCATCCATGATCATGCAGTTCTAACATACTAACTAATTGCTTGCCACCACAAACTTAGAAAAGTCCACAGATTCAATGTCAGCATCATCATCATCTTCTCCCTGGAAAACAATCCATAAAATCAACATTTAACTATCACAATAATTATAAAATTAGAATTCATATGAAATAGTTGAAATAATGATTATATATCAATAAAATAGGTGTACACTTATAGGTCAGCATCATTATCTTCTGTGTAAGGAAGATGGACCTTAGACCTATTTACTTTGGATTTTGGTGTTTGATGACCAACACAACTAAATTGGACTAATAAATTTACAAGTAATTATTTTATAGTTCAATAGAGTGCAAGACGTGACTTGGACGAAGGCGACATGATGATCCCACGATCAACACCATAAGCAAGACCCTAGAAGCATAAGAGAAGACCTAAGATATCAAGCAAAATCCAAGTACGAATATAGGAACCAAGCCGGACGCAAGATCGTAAAGTAACAAGCTTCACAGAGGTGACCGGACGCGGTCCTTATAGCGACCGGACGCGTCCGATCAACATGCTCGGCAACGGCAGGCGTCAGTAGCAGCGACCGGACGATGAGGATTCAAGTGACCGGACACGACAATGACACTGTTCACTGTCGCGACAACAGCTCAGCACTGACCAGACGTTGGAGGGTGATCGACCGGACGTAGGAATTGCAACGTCCGATCGAGTCCAGAGAGGTTCCAGAGCGGCGCCAGCACGACCGGACGCGTCCGATCGTCAATGACCGGACTCAGCGCCGAGTCTGATCAATGCGCTAGCTTTAATGGTCGGGACGATCGGACGCGTCCAGTCAAGACGACAGCAACGTCCGATCAGTAGCAGAAAGGTGGGTTTCGTCCCCAACGGCTACTTTCTCAATGGGGCTTATAAATAGACCCCTCAACCGGCCATTTGATGTGTGTTGAGCTGAGAAAACATACCAAATGTGTTGATATACCATTTTAGTGATCTCCACTTGTATAGTACTTAGTGATTCATTAGGTGATTAGGGTTGGTGCTTTGCGAAGTGCTTAGGTTGATTAGACCACCTCTAGGTTTATGCCTAGTGTATATTGAGGTTTGCATACCTCTTACCACTTGGTGTTTGCGCGCACTATTGTTGTACTTCGGAGGGGCTTATAGTCTTGTGAGATCACACCAATCGTGTTTGTGGTGTGGCCGTCACCGTGCACCAAAAGGGAACAAGGCCTACGGTGGTTTGACCGAAAGCTTGATAGTGAAGACGGCGGAGAGCATCTGGGAGAGGCTTGTCAGAAGGCACGTCGGAGACCCACTTGCGTGTGGGGAAGGCCCGAGGCTATCCACGGAGATCCCCAACCGGGAGCTTGGCCCTTGCGAGGGATTCCTTACGAGGGGCTCCAACGAGGATTAGGGGGAAGCTTGTGCGCTTCTCAATACCTCGGTAAAAATATCAGAGTCGTCGACGGGAGTTTGCATATCTCTACCTTACTTTTTAGCTTCCGCATTTATATTATTTGCATAACTCCTTTTGCGATAGAGATAGCAATACACTAGCAAAATTGTAGTTGCCCATTTAGATAGTTTATCTTTTTACATAGGTTTTGTTAAGGTTAAAAAAAAGACCATAGTTTAGAGTTAGAGTTTTAAGTTGCCTAATTCACCCTTCTCTTAGGCGTCACGGTCCCTTTCATTCTGGATTCATGGTCGTGGCCTGACAGGCCTTAGCTCGTGAGCAGCTCGTGAGCTGACTCGTTAAAATAGCGAGCTAGACTTCCCGCTCAACTCGTGAAAAAGTTAAAACGAATCGAGTCGAGCCGAGCTGAGCCGGCCACGAGTCGAGCGAGTTAGCGAGCCGTGAATATTTTGTCCAGCCCTACCTCCAACCTCGCCTCTCGTCGGGGGTCAGGGGTTAGGATTTGGGATTAGGGTGCTCTGCTCGGTCGCTTCGTGGTGGTCGGGGGAAGTGGAAGAGCAGGCTGGTTGCTGGGCGCTGGGCGACTGGACGTAGTGGGCTTATGAATTGATTAGATGATGGGCTCTTAATTATAATATCAGGTAGTGCGGGTAATTCAGGTACCGCGAGCTATTATCCGAATTTCCCAAACTAATTTCGAATATCTTGAATCACTATTCGAAATTATAATCAGTTAAATCCGGTATGGGTTCGGATAGTTTGAATTCAGGTATTGGGTATCGGATAATTTGCCCAGGGTTAATGGCTGATACTATCCGTATACAAATCCGAATCTGACCAGAAATATAAAAACAAATATAATATCAATGATATCTATTTGTATCCGTATCCGATCTGTTTTTATCTCTGATTTGTGGGCTCTCTATATGTGCTAGAGAGGCAAAACCACCCATTGAAATCTCATAGAGGCAAATTAATCAGATTTATTTATTAGGTGATATATAAGGGTGTAGAATACCTGGTGTCCTTTTTTTTAAGAATAGCCGGTGTCCTAAACTCGTAGGTTAGGACAAATTAGACATTAGAATAGTTAAGTGGTTAGGGCAAGTACATTGGACTTGTCTCATAGGCGGTCTCATATAGTGTTACGTAATTTTAAGACGATTTAATAGACAACATGCACAATGGTTGTTTTTTAAGTTGTCTTGTTGTAACTCATAATTCTGTAATTTATGGATATAATAAAAGTAAAGTTGTGAGTTATATGTCAATAACAACTCATATAATGATAAAATAGTTGTCTCACAGTCCTAAATTTTAGCTAATTGAGTTAGTTGAAACAACCACCTTTTCCTCTCCCCACTCTCTGTTTCCTCCACATGAGCAAACATCCTACACGGCATTACATGAGATGACCTACCAGACCGCTCACGTATAGCAATGTACCCGTCTTTATATAATTTTTTTAATTCTACTAAAAAAATGAGAATTTTGCTCAAATTCGAAAATTTCCTGAAATCCCAAAATTACCCTTTTCCATCTGCCTTCCAAACTGTGAAGCTTTTCTCGCACCCGTACTCCCCCCTCCACTCCGGCTAGGAGGCTGCTCCCTCCGCCGCACCGCCTCCGCCGCGCCGCCGTCGTCTCCGGCTCCGGCCCCGGACATCTCTTCGCCACCGCTGCCTGCGCCGCGGCGCCGCCACCACCGAAGGCGACCCAGTCGGCTTCTTGACTATGGTGACTCCTCCCACTGTCGAGGTACGTAGGCACTCACGCGTCGTCCACTCCGTCCCGTCCTCGCCGCTTCCCCATCCCCCTTCCCCGCGGCCTTACTCCTCAGTTACCTCCCGCCCGCCGAGCTACCGATCGGAGTGGCGCTCCTCGTCTTCGTCCCTAGGGTTTATCGGATCTGACCCCTCCTCCCGTTGCCCTCCTCGCTCGCAGCATGAGGACGAGGAGATGCTCGTGCCCGCCCAGGAGGTGGCCGCTGCCGACACCGACGCAGCGCAGCCCATGGAAGGTACTGTACGCTCTTATCTCATTTTGCTGCTTTGCTTCAGTTTGATTTGTAGCTTGGTTTGGCAATGTGCCACATTAGGAACTTGGTTCTGTGTGCTCGCATTATCCTGATTCTCCATACGGACGTGTTTCATGGCTATTGGCAGTGGTGGCACAGACTGAGGTGGTGAGCACGGCGGAGAGCCATCCTGTGGAAGATCCGCAGACATCGCGGTTCACATGGACAATTGAGAACTTCACCAGGTTCAATGGGAAGAAGCACTATTCAGAGGTTTTTGTCGTTGGCGGATTCAAATGGTGAGCTCCTGATCCGTTCCATTGTCCTGCCTGCGGAAACCATGGAGTTTTTGTTTTCTACCCCCTGTTCTTTAGAGTACCCATAACATCTGTTGACCTTCACGCAGGCGTGTGCTGATTTTCCCCAAGGGGAACAATGTGGACCACTTCTCAATGTACTTAGATGTTGCTGACTCAGCCAACCTCCCGTACGGTTGGAGCCGCTATGCTCAGTTTAGTCTTGCTGTTGTAAACCAGATCCAGCCGAAGTATACGATACGCAAAGGTGTAGTTTGCTTTATGCTGTGTTTATCCACATCTCTGTGCACTTGAATGTAGAGGGAAGAATGTTAAACTAGAAAACATCACATGCCAAAGCAGCACATATAAACATGGGAGTAGAAGTGTTTGAATACACTGCTATTCTCATCCAAAACATTTTTATGACTTTGTCTGGAAAAGTTACTGATTTTAAAGATTTTCTTGCATCAGGTGGGAAACCAGTTAATCTTATATGTATAGTGGTTTTGTCGCCATTTTAACTTTTATCTCATGTTGGATGGGCAGTGTAGACACTAGACAGTCTTGTTGACAACTTACCATGGTTGCATCCCTGACCTACGTAACTGAGTATTAGGTCTCTGAATTTGAAATAAACCTTTGTTCCTTAAATCTGTTATGAAGCCCCAATCAAGTCCCAGATTTGCAACTTGCGTCATCTACACAACTTTATTACTAGAGTAAAATTGTTAGCTTCCAGGTCTTTTTTTTAGAACACGCTTGTGTATCTTTGTATTAAAGAGAGAGGTTAGCTTCCAGCTTGTACCATTGTTGTGAAAATCCACCAACTTTAGTCGGTGAAATGGTTAGACTATCACCATGTAGGTGATATTAGTGGCGTTAAGCGATTAATCAGTGGCAAATCCTATTATCAACTGTTTTCTTGGCTAATCATTACAGTATATGATGAAGAATAAACTGCAAATGCTATTTATGACAAATTATGTTAGAGAAGTGATATTTTTCCATAACCCTAACAAACAAGTTCCTGTAGGCACTAGCTGGGTGTCAGACCAACACCTATCACCAAATTTTCAACTAGACTGGCCTAGGTGGTTAGCCAGGATGGTTTCCATATAACATGCTGTCCCATGATTGACGATGGATTGATTTTTCTGTTCTATCTATATTTACTTAGATATTGTTGCTACGAACTTTTGCTCCATTTCTGAGGATTGCAAATGCGGCACAATGCAATTTTTTAAGTTCTGTTGGTGATTAATAGGATGCATAGTGTTCTTGATCTAATGATGCTGATAAGGCTTGCTTTATCACCTTTGTTTGCCAATGGTTCTTGCTATGGATGTATCTAGCACCAACCCGTCATTTCGTCCCTGTCTGCAGATACCCAACATCAATTTAATGCTCGTGAGAGTGATTGGGGTTTCACATCTTTTATGCCTTTGAGTGAGCTGTATGATGCAAGTAGAGGTTACCTCGCGAATGATACTGTTGTTGTGGAGGCTGAGGTTGCTGTCCGCAGAATGGTTGACTATTGGACATATGACTCAAAAAAGGAAACTGGTTATGTGGGTCTGAAAAACCAAGGAGCTACCTGTTATATGAACTCCCTTCTACAAACACTATACCATATACCGTACTTCAGGAAGGTGTGGTACCATGCATTCTTACATTATAGGCATTATTCCTACTGCACTTCACTGATTTATTTTTTTCTGCTTTAAGGCTGTGTATCATATGCCAACCACTGAAAATGACATGCCATCAGGAAGTATTCCCTTGGCGCTGCAGAGCCTTTTCTACAAGCTCCAGTACAGTGACAGTAGTGTAGCTACAAAAGAGCTGACCAAATCTTTTGGATGGGACACATATGATTCTTTCATGCAACATGATGTACAAGAGCTCAACAGAGTTCTCTCTGAGAAACTTGAGGACAAAATGAAGGTAACATATATAGTGGAACTCGGATGTATAGTGCATTTTATCTTTTATTAACCTCACATCTTCTTAGGGCACTGTCGTAGAAGGAACGATTGAGCAATTATTTGAAGGTCACCACATCAATTACATTGAGTGTATAAATGTTGAGTATAAATCTAACCGCAAGGAGTCCTTTTATGGTATGGGCTGTATTTTACGTTGTTTGCTGACTAAGCAATGCCTTGGTAGCCCAAGTGGTAGCAACCTTGGTTGTTGTACTAAGTAATGCTATATGCCCTTGCAGATCTTCAACTTGACGTCAAAGGTTGTCGTGACATTTATTCATCATTTGATAAATATGTTGAAGTTGAGCGTCTAGAGGGTGATAACAAGTATCATGCAGAGAATCATGGTCTACAGGTAACCAAATATCTTGCTATTCATTAAGATGAAAACCAGCTAGAGTTGGTGTATTCATTAAGATATTTATGTGATTTGTGAGCTTCAATGTATTTATTTACTGAGATAGGAAATAACCAAATTATAACACAATATAGCCATATAGTGAACATGCGGACTGCATGTGATATTCCTTATACTTTCCGTTCCTTTTTCTGTTTGATGAAGGAAGTTTGTAAGTTGTATGATAACCTTTTTTTTTGTTCAGTTCATTATTGAATATATCTTGTGACTGGATTCAATCTTGATATTGCAGGATGCGAAGAAGGGAGTTCTTTTCCTTGATTTTCCCCCTGTTTTGCAACTCCAGCTGAAGCGCTTTGAGTATGATTATATGAGAGATACCATGGTTAAGGTTTGTTCTGGATAACTTGCACTTTGTTCAATTAGTTATATTGTTCATGTACTTGTAAGATCTGCTACACCAAATGAGCCATTTCATTTAGGATGTGTGCAGCAATTACAATCAATCTAAATCGAAATGTTTTTAAGACCTATTCTTTGTTGAGATTGTCATGTCTATTAATACTTGCTTGCCCAGATTAATGATCGCTACGAGTTCCCTCTGCAACTTGATCTGGATAGAGATGGTGGCAAATACCTTGCTCCAGATGCAGATCGAAGTACAAGAAACCTTTACACTCTTCACAGGCAATGTCTTTTACCACTTACTGTACATCTTTGTATGGCTTTAAAATGAATTAATTTATTTACCGTCCGTGAGATGTCCTTTTTTTTCCTCGAACGCGCGTGGCATTTCCTTTTTGTTATGGTCTTTGAGAGTTTTGAGGCACCAGAGAATTTCTACTTATTTGTTCCATCTAAAAATAATCGCTATTTGTTTTACCAACAGGCTATGTGGGGCTGGCATAGGTTGCTATATAATGCTATGCTTAAGTAGACGTATGTATAAGGAAATTGGTTGATCATGTGCAAAATGCAGCCGCATGAACCTGCAGATTTGCAGACACTGCCACGATTACTATTTTTGATAACCATCGCACACCATTCATAATTTTCTTCTTATTTATTGTGTAGAGCACCAGTGCAGTTTGTTAGAAAGGTATTTTCAGTGCAATTGTGTATTGTGGTAATGTAATTTGCAAAGGTACTTGTGTAGTTGTTGGAGTATAAGTGAAATGTCCACCTCTCCCCATCAGCTTAAGCTTTTGGGTTGAACTGGTCAGTGCATGCAACTCAATATGGTACCAAAGCTAGAGGTCTTGAGTTCGAATCATGGTTAGTGCAATTAAATAAAATAATTGTTGCTTGCTCCTATTCCACGTCTCAGGCCTGAGGGAGCCTCCACGTGAGGGGGAGTGTTTGTTGGAGTATAAGTGAATTGTCGACCTCTCCCCATCAGCTTAAGCTTTTGGGTTGAGGTATTTCACTCTGTTCTGGGGTTGCTGTGGGGATTCATCTCTTGTACACTATATGTCTATATCTACAGTTCAGTCCTTTTTTCTTCTCCACCACCTAAGCGAACACTTGCTTCTTGCATTTTTTTTGGTGTACTAATACTGCTTATCTTCTTTTATTCAGTGTTCTTGTTCATAGCGGTGGGGTACATGGCGGTCACTACTATGCATTCATACGACCAACTCTATCTGAGCAATGGTAGGCTTTTGTGTTGGTTTATTGTCGTGGTACACTTGCTTAACTAGTTGCTAGATGATTTCATTGCATTTTCCTTGCGCTTAGTTATTTAATGGTTGACTAGAACTATACCGACTTCCATTCTTAAGTTGGAGAACTAAATTAGCTGACTAAAATCTGTGTTTCTGACCCGCCGGTGATTACCACTGAATGGTAGCAGTCATGTCTATAACTGTACAATTGTGGTACTGTAGAGTGTAGCATAAGCCTTTGCAGACCAATTTGAAGTTTCAGATTCTGTTTTCTCCTAACCAGTTGGCTATGGGAATGCACCCATTTAATTTGTTCTGATTTTTTAGGACTGTTGGCAACTCAAACTAGTTGTCTATTAGAGGGGTTGATTACACTTGTGTTCTTTAGAATACACATTTGTCACTGCTCCCAATACACATTTGCACCCTCGGCTGCTTATAGTCCGCATTCATCAACAACTGAACTGCATCATGCATGTCTTGAAAAATCCTACTAGCAATAATAATATGCTCAACTAGTCCTTGATACAAGTTCAAGGAATAAACGCACTACATTAATGATCACTTGCATATGAACCACTTGAACACCGTACATACAACAACCATGGTTTTTGAGGCGTTGCGGCATCCTGTGGCGCTGGGGGTACGCCTGGACGCCTAGACGCCTTCTAGGCAACACCTAGGCGATATGGCGTAACTAAAACTCTGTGGCATCCTGTGGCACCTGGGGTACACCTCAACACCTAGGCGACGCCTCAAAAACCATGACAACAACAAACCTTTTTGTCCAAGCAGTTTGGGATATGCTAGAAACAAAACCAAACAAGGAGCCACGAACAAAGAGGATAGTAGTATTAGTAATAGGAACAATAATAAAAGAAATTGGTATCCTAGGTCATTGTTCATGCACTTGGATTGCTATTCTCCATGTGCTCCTGTCCAAGGATAAAACATGTTCAATACCTTGTTCGGGACCTCACCGTAAGCTTGGGATTGAGCGATTCATTGGGGAGGAGTAACATTTTAGTTGCATTTGCCATGGGTACCCTTGCAAAATTTGGGCTATTGGGTTTGAGAAAAAGGTTGGGCTATTGAGTTGGTGAGCAATGGCCCAAAATACAAGTGGCTGGGTCCCATCCCATCCGAAGGTAGTAGAGGAGCAGAATATAAGACTGGGAACTTCTAAGCGACAAGACCCTCTCTACCGGCCCCCTCCTTCCCCATAACCCTAGATCTGCCCTTCTGTGGCATCCTGGATCACTGTTCTTCCGTGGTGCCCTGGGTCACTGTTCTTCCGTGGTGCCCTGGGTCACTGTTCTTCTGTGGCACCCCAGCTAACTCTTCCTTCCTGAGGCTCTGATCCACCTATTTCCCTCCGAATCCAATCCCAATCCTGCCAAATCATTCCACTGATTGTTGAGGTATGCAATACTAGGGTTTCACGCGACGAAGTAGGGGGCAAAGTTTAATCTCTGTACAGTATTTTTGTTGCTACTGAAATGCTTGTTTTTTTATGTGAAAGCAATCTATGCTGCATGATCTGCATATTCTTGTAAACTCTCCAAATTTTCACCTCATGTTGTGCTCAGGTATAAATTTGATGATGAGCGTGTAACAAAAGAAGATGCTAAGAAAGCTCTTGAAGAGCAATATGGGGGTGAGGAAGAGGTAAGTTCTATTTGATTTTTTATTCAAGGATAAATGTCTGAAATCTATATCTCATCTACTTATCACCATCGTTTATGTTTCTCTTTTGGATTAAACAGTTGCCCCAAATAAACCCTGGTTTCAACAATGCTCCATTTAAATTCACGAAGTATTCAAACGCGTATATGCTTGTTTATATTCGTGAAAGTGACAAGGAGAAAATTATGTGTACTGTTGATGAAAAAGACATTGCTGAGCATTTAAGGGTATGCACGATCTGTAGCATTATCCCTCCGTTTTTTACTGTGGATTCCATTTTTGGTATAGTTCGGTTGAGAACTGTGGATTTGTGTAGGTAAGGTTGAAAAAAGAACAAGAAGAGAAAGAACACAAAAAGAAAGAAAAAGCTGAAGCTCATCTTTATACCATAATTAAGGTCTGGATCTATGTTTCTTTCCTATTGATCTCATAATCTGAAATTGAGTATCTTTTTTAGCATTAAATTCTGGCAAATAAATCTAGGTAGCTCGAGATGAGGATTTGAAGGAACAAATTGGAAAGGATATATATTTTGATTTGGTGGACCATGAAAAAGTCCGTAATTTCCGTATACAGAAACAAATGCCTTTTAGTTCTTTCAAGGTAACATGCTTCCAGAACTCTGCACAAGTAATTTTTATGGTTGCAAATCTTTCTTATTATAGCTTTATAATACAAATTCCATTATTGTTATTGATATGTGGAATTGGATTCGACTTTTTTTTTGTTTATTTAACTTTTATTAAATAACTGTTTAATAGGAGGAAGTTGCCAAGGAATATGGCATCCCTGTGCAGTTTCAGCGCTTCTGGTTGTGGGCCAAGAGGCAAAACCATACATACCGCCCTAATCATCCATTGACCCTTCATGAGGAAACACAATCTGTAAGTTATTTGTTCATTTGTTGCTTCAAAGTGCTGGAGCTTATAGTTTATTCTGCAGATACCTTGGGAACTGCCGCATAACTTTTATTTGTTTCATTTTCATGCCAGTATTAGTAATACTGTAATGAAATCGGGAACATAATGAGCTGTATAAGTTGGAAATACTTATTATAAAAAGATTCAACTCTAGCCTACCCCAACTTGTTTGGGACTTAAAGGCTTTGTTGTTGTTGTTGTCTTTCTTGCTTAGCTAAGTTATTATTTTGTTTTAAATTTGACTCTTGAGAGGTATTAATTCATTTGGTGACTCTTTCCTTTTTTTTTTTTTGCAATTCTAATGACTTAAAAAGAATTTTATAAGATTTCTATGGACTTAACTCTTCACGTGCCTGAACCTTGATGGCTTCTGCTGGGTTTCAACTCTAGCTTACCCCAACTTGTTTGGGACTTAAAGGCTTTGTTGTTGTTGTTGTTGTTGTTGTACTTATTATAAAAAGAACAGAACCAATGCTTGGATAAGGTTTAATAGTTACCGACTAGGGGTCTGGTCATGAACTAATATGCGGATTTGGCTTGTGCAATTCTCAAAAGCTATCTTTATATGATCTCTTTTATATCTATATCTGATCAACATTACTATGATAGAAGTATTAGGATTCATCTCAGGCACTCTCATCAGTGGTCTATATTGTTATATGATGTAGTATAATATGTAAGACGAACGTCATAAAAGACAAGAAATCTTTCATCATTCTCAAGGATTGTTCCTGTTCTCAAATACTAAGGGTTGGGATAACTTTAGGAATTTGTTGAGTTGATATATATACTTAAGAAAAGGAACCTTTCAGGAATTGGTTTAGCTGATATGGAATACTTTGCTTCCAGAAAAACAACTAGTAGCCCAATCTGTTGTGTTTAGTTGTCAAGATGCTATAGCAAAATTGTGAAGAACTTTGTAGAGCCTTGCACTTATTTATGTGGACCTTTGCAGTGTTATTTTTTTGTTTTGATTTTTGTCTTCCTTTATTTTTCACATTTCAAATTTATGTGAATATATCTCATTCTTTTCTTTCCCTGCTTAGGTGGGGCAACTGAGGGAGGTATCAAATAAGGCACACAATGCTGAGTTGAAGCTGTTTTTGGAAGTAGCACTTGGGCTGGTAATGATATGCTTGATTTGTGCTTCCTTCCTGTTCTGCATGTTACTTATTTTAGTGTTTGCCATGGCACTCTTTGTTTACCCATTTAGGATTTGCGGCCGCTCCCTCCTCCTGAGAAGGGCAAGGAAGATATTCTTCTTTTCTTCAAACTCTACAACCCAGAAAAGGAAGAACTTTGGTACCTTCTGTTTTAACTGATAACATTGTCATCTTGTCCTAAGTAGTGCTTCTTTATCCTTCATTAAAATAAGTGTATCATCATGTGACTCATGGGGTTGTTTCATCCATGTAGTTTTATGGGGAGGCTCTTCGTGAAGGCATTGGGCAAACCTTCAGAAATCCTGGCAAAACTAAACGAAATGGCTGGATTTTCCCCTGATCAAGAAATTGAGCTTTATGAGGCAAGATTGATTTTTTTGTTTTGATATATTTATTGTCCTGATGATTTGTCCACTAGTGCATTGTTGTAGTGCATCATTGTCCAGATGCATTAATTCTGTCCCTGATGACCTTATGATGCCTACTGTGCTTAAATTGTTCCATTGGTACATATGCAGGAAATTAAGTTTGAGCCAAACGTGATGTGCGAAATTATCGACAAGAAACTCACTTTTCGTTCTAGTCAGGTTTGTCAATACACTTCTATTCAAAGGGATGCATAACTCAAATTAAAGGGTTATTTATCGAATTATTTCCAAAATTTCTCAATATTTTAGCTTGAAGATGGGGACATTCTCTGTTTCCAAAAATCACCAGGAGCAGACTATGATGCACGAGTGCGATATCCAGATGTTCCTTCATTTTTGGAGTATGTCCATAATAGGCAGGTGTGGTGTCCGTATGTCCAACTTGATTACGATTTTGTACTGTAGGTATAAGACTAATATTTGTTATTCCAATTTTCATATGATTTTACTTCCATTTGTAAGCTATTATTGCACATTCAGTCTGCCACATCTATTTATGGTCATGTTCCAGTTCCACATCATTTCTGGTATGTTTTAGGTCACTAGAAAATATACAGTGAGAATTTTTATTTGTAGTTTTTTTTTCTCTTTTAATGGAACTGATCTATCTAGTGTACCATGTTTACTTTTTTAATGTGTATCCACCTTACTAATAGCCACAACCAAGCCTCTGCTGCATCTCATGCAGCAGCTTGATGTTGCTTTTTCATTGTATTGCTCCAAATTATATGCTGCAGAAGGGACATCTGTTCATAATGTCCATGCATTCCTTTTCCTCTTCTTCACATCAGTATTTATTGGTGGCATAGTTTCTCTACAGTTTATTTGTCAGCAATATAGTTTATTCTTAAGAACAATATGGCACCTTTTATCTTAGAGCTTTTGCCAGCAGTTATTAAAACCTGCTTTCTCATCATGTTCCTGAAGTAACTGTTGTGGTTGCTGCAGGTTGTGCATTTCCGGTCTTTGGAGAAACCAAAGGATGATGCTTTTTCTTTGGAATTGTGAGAGTTTGCTTATTGTGCATCATTGTTCGGTGAAATTGTTTAATTGAATATATATCTCACCCAATATGTTCTTTTCCATGCCTCAAGGTCAAAGCTTCATACCTATGATGATGTTGTTGAGAGAGTTGCTCGCCAACTTGAATTGGACGATCCAGCGAAAATTCGGCTTACATCCCACAATTGCTACTCTCAGCAACCTAAACCACAACCTGTCAAATATCGAGGAGTGGAGCATCTGTTGGACATGCTCATCCATTACAATCAGGTTAACCTTTTTCGTTTCTTTTGGTCAATATGAGCGTGCTTTCTGTGTAACAAAATGTGTTGGACTTCCTACTGAAGCACTATCTGGTACAGACGTCTGACATCTTGTATTATGAAGTGTTGGATATACCACTGCCAGAATTGCAGTTCCTGAAAACCCTAAAAGTCGCATTCCACCATCCTATGAAGGATGAGGTTTGTTTTGCTACCAGGCACATATGGTGTACTGCCTAAAGTATTTTGTGTATATCTTCATATGATATCCTTTCTCCAGGTTGTTATTCATAGTATCAGGCTTCCAAAAAATAGCACCATTGCTGATGTAATAAATGACCTGAAAACTAAGGTAAGCAATACATTCCCCTCAATCCCTTTGTAAGTGTAGTTTTGTTCTTCAGAGTTACACTTCAGCGGAACTAAGCTGACACTATTGTGTTGACCCTGAATATATCCATATTATCCTTGTTAGTTCTATTAGTTTTTTTTCCTTGATGTTTTAGACCTGTGTGCACTAGATCATGTTTACCTAAGTGTTTTCCTTGCTACCTAAAACTTGTTAGGCCCCCTCAGTCAAGCATTGTTGCCAATGAACAAATAGACTAATTCTTATTGAATGTAGCAAACACTAATGTAGGTAGGTGGGGCATTCCAGATGTAGGCTTGTCTCTTCAAAGTCTTATACAACAATAAATAAAAAGGAACATTTTGTAGCTCTTAAGAGTTAAGACATTAAAGGAAAAAAGTAGCAGCAGATGGAGTGCGTAATCTGGTTAAAGGGTCTGGTCATACTTGTATTTTTTTGAAAGAAAACTGTGAGCTTGCTCCCCAGCGCTTTATTGAAACCAGGAACCAAAACATGTTAGCTAGAAGCTAACAAAAGACTTGCCTACTAACAAGTTACAAACGTTCAAAGCCGCCACAAGAAGAAAGCATTACAAAGCATTGAGCCAGTTCATAACTGAAACTTGAAGATTGCTAGGGATCCTATGAGGATGAAGCTTAACTTCATTCTTGAAGATCAGTTTCCAGGACGCAACAGCTGGCACTTTGTTATCAAAGATGAGTGCATTATGCTCTTTCCAAATACTCCATGGTCCACGCCACAATCATGATCAGATCCATGAAGAAAGGAGAGTTGAACCTGGTCTTCTGCTCTGCTAGCGGTCAAACTTATATTATCACTTATAGTTTTCTATCAAACTGTACTTGTTACTAACCTTGGAGATCTGAGAAGATAATCACTCCACGGGTTGAGAGGACTATATATAGAGAGCCTCATGGGCTATATGGGCCTATAGATATAAGGGCCTTCATACACTTGACACCCCCCTTCAAACTCAAGGTGGAAGCGGAGGATTTGAAGCATTGAGTTTGATCAAGTGAAGCCGATGCTGCTCTCCAGTTTGTGCTTTAGTGAAAAAGTCAGCCAATTGCAACTCCGAAGGCACATACTGGAGAGAGAGAGTTTTCTGATGACAATGAGACCGAGTAAATAAGGCATCCACACCAATATGCTTTGTAAGTTCATGCTTCACAGGATCATTAGCAATTTGTATGGCTCCTGTATTATCACAGAGAAGAGGTGTGGCAACATCACAAGAAATGCCTAAATCAGTCAACAACCATCGAAGCCATACAATCTCTGCAGTAGTAGTAGCAAGGGCTCGAAGTTCGGCCTCCGTACTAGAGCGAGATACAGCTGTTTGCTTCTTGGACTTCCATACAATAGGAGAAGAGCCAAGAAGAATGCAATATCCAGTGATTGAACGTCGATCTGTTGGGTCACTCGCCCAAGTGGAGTCCGAGTAAGCATGAAGCCAAAGCGGACTATCATGCGCATAGAATAAACTTTGAGATGATGTCCCCCGTAAGTAGCGTAGCACGCGAAGTAAATGTCCAAAATGAACAGAAGTTGGGGCACAAACAAACTGACTCAAAATATGGACTGCATGAGCAATATCAGGCCTCGTGACAGTGAGATAAACAAGGCTGCCCACAATATGTCGATATCTAGTGGGATCCTCAAGAGGTACCCCATCAGTGAGACGAAGCTGCAAGTGAAGATCCATAGGTGTGGCAGCAGTTCGATTATCAGTGATGCCGGAACGAGCAATAAGATCTTGTATGTACTTAGACTGAGAAAGATGGTATCCCTTAGTAGTTTGCTTGACCTCAATGCCTAAGAAATAACTGAGAGGACCCAAATCAGACATCTGAAATTCAGCATTGAGCTGTTGTTTCACATGGGAAATGTGCTCCTCATCATCACCCGTAATCAGCATATCATCAACATATAGAAGAAGCAACATACGACCACGCGGTGACAAATGAACAAATAAAGCCAGATCATGATCACTAGGTGAAAAACCAGCAGCCCGTATCACAGAGACAAAACGCTCATGCCAACCACGAGGAGCCTGTTTAAGGCCATATAAAGCACGTCGAAGACAATAGACATATCCTGGAGGAGCGACAACACCCGGGGGCGGTTGCATGTAAACTTCTTCAGTCAAATCACCATGAAGAAAAGCATTCTTGACATCCATTTGAGATATAGGCCAAGAAGAAGCCACTGCAATTAACGTACTTGTCATATGAGCAACAGGGGCAAATGTCTCATCATAATCTAGACCCTGAGTCTGCTAAAAACCTTTGGCAACAAGACGGGCCTTATATCTCTCTATAGAGCCATCTGACTTGGTCTTAACTTTGAATACCCACTTAGATGTAATAGGTACCGTGTGCGATGGCAATGGAACAAGATCCCAAGTGCCTTGACGATCAAGGGCAGCAAGTTCCTCAGACATAGCTAGCTACCATTCTGGAATACAAGAAGCTTCCTGATAAGTGGATGAGCCATCAACAACAGCATGCACATGGGGAAAACCATACTTCTCTTCAGGATGAATGGTACTGCGGTCTCGAAGATTATATCGTGGAGCAACCTGTAACTCATCAGCATGTGAATCATCAATGTTATTATTAGAAGCATCAACAGTGGGCTCATCGGGACTAGCCAAGGTGGTAGAACTAGACGGAAGCTGGGAGGGATTTCTAGGACGATGGCTGAAGACACGTGTAATAGGTGGTTTTGAAAAAGAATGAGATGGAGGCGAGGATGTTGTAGGAGGTAAAGGTGGTGTGATGGAAACAGGAGGATCAGATGGTGTAGAGGCATCATCGCTGGATAAAATTGGAGGAAAACTCAAAAAGGAGGTGGACTCTGTGGGAGAGTATGAAGGCTTGGTTTGGTGGAAGGGTTATAAAAGAAGGGACGATCCTCATCAAAGGTAACGTCACGAGAGATACATATGCGACGGGAAGAAGGGTCATAACATCGATAACCTTTATGCTCAGGACTATACCCTAGAAAAACACATTCAACAGATTGTGTAGTCAATTTTGTGCGCTCACGAGGTGCAAGCAAAACATAGCATGTGCATCCAAAAACTCGGAGATGATCATAGCTAGGAGTACCATAAAGTACTTCACCAGGACATTGATCAGACAATTTGGATGAAGGTTGCCTATTGATGAGATAGACAACAGTGGAAACAGCTTCACCCCAAAAATGACAAGGGACAAATGATGAAATCAGAAGTGTGCGAGCTGTCTCTATGAGATGGCGATGTTTTCGTTCAGCAACACCATTCTGAGCATGAGCACCTGGACAAGAAAGCTGTGCAAGTGTGCCCTCAGACGACAGAAATTGGCGGAAGGCAGCAGACAAATATTCACCCTCGGAGTCAGAACGAAGAACTTTAATGGGAGTAGAAAATTGTGTGTGAACCATTCGAACAAAAGACTGATAAATGGAACACAATTGCGAACGATGTTTCATGAAATAAATCCATGTATAGTGAGAATAATCATCAATAAAAATGACATAATATTTGTGGCCACCTTTTGTAGCAAAAGGTGCAGGACCCCATACATCGGAATGAATAAGATCAAAAGGTCTAGCAGAATGAGAAACACTAGAAGAGTAAAGAAGTTGTATTTGTTTGCCAAACTTACAACCCTTACAATGAAAGCTAGACTCAATAGATGTATGACCTAAACAACCTGTATTTATCATGGAGGACAAACGAGACCCACAAAAATGACCAAGATGATGATGCCACTTGGTGAAGGAAGAGGCTGAAGACGATGCAGCGGATGAGACATGAGCTGTAGATGCAACGGACAAAGGAAGACGTAGGGTGTCCAGAACGTAGAGGCTAGAAGTACCTTTACGGCGATGGCCAGTCCCAATCACTTTCCCGCTGCGACGGTCCTGAATAAAACAAGATGAGTCATCAAAACCAACAAAGCAATTCTGGTCGGTAACTTGACCAACCGACAGAAGATTCATAGACAACTGAGGTACAAAAGAAACATTGGGTACAGAAAAATGATTATTGCAAAGTGAACCCTGATGAGTGATATGACAAGATGTACCATCAGCTGTCTGAATAGAAGCACCATCAGGGACCGGCTTGCAAGCAACTAGCTGGGACTGATCCGATGTCACATGAAAAGAAGCCCCTGAATCAAGCACCCAAGTCGAAGGAGCACTAATAGTCGAGGAGGCAGCCACTGAAACTGAGCCTCTAGAAGTGGAACCAGTACCACAACCATGACCACGACCACCATGAGCAGCACGCCGCGCACGATACTCTGCCAACTTCTCTGGATGATGAGAGAAACAATTGTCTGAGAGATGACCGGTCCTGCCACAATGCCTACAGGGCTCTGCAGAGGTACTATTGGGTGCACTGGTCCTCTGAGAAGCTGCCAACACACCATGAGACACTTCAGAGGACAAGGACTTGAGATGGGTTTCTTCTGCAAGTAAGTCAGACAAAGCCTTTGCCATAGTGAGATCAGAAGAACTGTGAAGCAATCGTGTACGAATGGAATCATACTCAGCTCGAACTCCCATGACAAATTTATAAGTATAAAACTTTTCAATAAATTTATGTGCTGGACAAGGAGCAGCTGAACATTCAGGTATCATGGAAGTCAGTGATCCCATCAATCGATCAAAAGCAGAATAGTACTCATCAATGGACATATCATGCTGCTCAATGACATGAGTTTGCTGCATAAGATTATGTAAAAGAGCACCACTGTCCTGTACATACCGCTGCTTCAGATTTTCCCATATGGCCTTAGCAGTTTTGAACTTTGACAGACTCATAATCAAGGATTGTTTAGTACTGTTGACCATGGCAGCCATCACTTTGCCATCATTAATACCCCAATCTTTTACTGCAGTAGCATTACTACCATCCTCCTTAAGCTTAGGGGCGTTGTCAGTTAGATGAAATAGTAAACCATGACCCCTTAATGCAGTTTCCACACAGAAAGCCCATTCAGGATAATTTGGACCCTCTAAAGTGATACTGATGACGATTGCAGTAATCTGAGACATATTGAAGTCTGCTGGAGCGTGAATAACAATTCAAAAAGCAGAGGACCAGACAACAGTTACCACCACCGATGCAGCAGCAGATGGTAGAAGGTGGACTGCTCCCCAGATCAAACGGAAGGAGACAGCAGGCGGATGACGAGGAAGCCGCGTACGAGCGGGTGGGCCGAGACGAGGCCGCGAAGAGGAGCCGCGAAGTCTAGACGAGGCTGCACGTGAAGTCCCGACTAAGCCGCACGCCTGCACGTCAACTCCCGCACAGGAAGGCCGTGCGCGTGACAGGGCCGCACGGGGAGGCCGCGCGCGTGACAGAACCGCACGGGGAGGCCGCGCGCGTGACGAAGACCACGCGCGGGGATGAAAACCGTGGGTGACTGGCGATGCTGGAGACGGGCCGCGTGTCCAAAACAGAGGACGGGCGACGCTGGAGACGGGCCGCGTGTCCAAAACAGAGGACCTGCACAGCGGCGGACTGCGAGCAGAGGAAGGAAACTGTGTGGCGACGGGCCACACGGAAGGACGGCGCGGCGACGTGCTGCGCGGAAGGACGGCACAGCGACGGGCTGCACGGAAGAAACAGAGGATGATCCCAAGGGGAAAAAATGGATCGTGGGTGATTTAGATGAGTCTAAACCTAACCCTAATCCATGGCTTTGATTCCATGTTACTAACCTTGGATATCTGAGAAGATAATCACTCCACAGGTTGAGAGGACTATATATAGAGAGCGTGGGTGATTTAGATGAGTCTAAACCTAACCCTAATCCATTGGCTTTGATTCCATGTTACTAACCTTGGAGATCTGAGAAGATAATCAGTCCACAGGTTGAGAGGACTATATATAGAGAGCCTCATGGGCTATATGGGCCTATAGATATAAGGGCCTTCATACACTTAACAGTACTAAGTGTCCAAAAAAGACTTGAATTTTAGTAGTGGAAATTTGTCCCACAAATAGTTGATTTAGAGCTACTAGGAGTATTAATTGTCCTTGTGAGCCACCTGCACCCATTAAGGGCCTGTTTGGAACACGGGATTTTAAATGTGGTGCCTAATTCCTTCATTACCTGCCTTGGTCAAGCAATATGGCCATTAAATCCTGGGGCTGCTGGAGACATCACAGCCAATCCAATCTTTTCACCATAAAATACATAGATATAATGGAGGCATCTCGCCTTTTCTCCATGGTAATTACCTGTCTGGTTTGCTAAAAATCATGTCTTTGTGGGATGGATGGAGTAAAAGATTATTGTTTGGTGTGAATGTGGGTGTTGTTCGGTGCTAAACCCTTCTCTTTTCTTAATATATAATAATGATCATAGCTCTCCTGTGTGTTCTAGTGAAAAAGTAAAAGCAACTGTAAAGTGGCTTGTTAGGTTTCTCTTGGTGGTTTGGTTCATTAAGCTTTTAATTGTACTAATCAACAGGTTGAACTGTCCAGTCCAAATGCTGAACTACGTGTGCTAGAAGTTTTTTACCACAAGATCTATAAGGTACTTTGGGCATTCATATGATACATCATGAGCATTACACAATATACAGTGTTTCTTATGTTTTATTTTCTGGAGAACAAAGATTTTGTAACTAGTGTAATGAATTCTTCTATATAAAAAACTATCATTTTTTTACTGTATTCATTATGGCTACTTGCTAATTCAAGTTTTTTCATAGATCTTTCCACTACAAGAGAAGATAGAGAATATAAACGATCAATATTGGACACTACGTGCTGAGGAGGTGTGTAATAATTTTGTCCACTGTACTTGGTGGCTGTAGTTCCAATCTGAAAAGTTCTAAGTAACCTCATAAGTGCGTCTATCAATTGGTGTAGATTCCAGAAGAGGAGAAAAACATAGGTCCAAATGATCGGCTAATTCATGTTTATCACTTCACGAAAGATATTAATCAGACTCAGGTAGTGCACTTATTAAGTTGTATTTGAAGATAGCTATACAATATTTTTTTATGTCAAGAATTGACATTGTTTTGACCTACAGCAAATTCAGAACTTTGGAGACCCGTTCTTTCTGCTCATTCATGAAGGTGAGACTTTAGCAGAAGTCAAGAAGCGCATACAGAGTAAACTTCAAGTCTCTGCCGATGAATTTTCCAAGGTGATCCATCAATCGAAGTTTCTTTTAATGGATGGAGTGACAACATATGAGTATTCATTAATAGTACCACTATTTCTGATCTGGTTCTTCTGTAATGGGCAGAATTCAGATGCCATACTTTACTATGAAAATTTATCAATCATCTCAAAAATTTCCAGTCACTTGTAAGAAAAAAGTCCCGTCCATCACAAGTGAATTAGATGGACATATTTTATGTCTTATAGAATGGTTTGCCAATTATTTTGCGAACTGTGATAGCAAAGTAATATTAATAAAGTGATATTCACTAACAGATCTTGATTTTTTGTTACTTCCAGGCCTTTTGGATTATTGCTGTTCTTTTTCTTGTCATTGTTTTTCTTTTCTTTTACCTTGAGTTGCGTTGCATATTATGCAGCTGCAGAACTGATATACCTGTTAATATTCGTGTGAGCAGTGGAAATTTGCATTTATATCGATGAATCGGCCAGACTACCTCCAGGATTCAGATGTTATATCTACTCGCTTTCAGGTACATTGTTTGATGTTGCCTACACTCTTGTCTAGCTGTTTCCATGCTTGTCCTGTTTGCTGACCTTTGTCATCTGATTACTACAGAGGAGGGAGGTCTATGGAGCTTGGGAGCAATATCTTGGGATGGAGCACACTGATACTGCACCAAAAAGGGCTTATACAGTGAATCAGGTATGCTACTTTTTTGTGAAACAACACTGTTTAAATTTTCTACTGTCAATTTTGTGCACCATACTAGTGTCATCATAGCTTAGGCAAACATGCAAATGCTTTATGATCTCAAATAGCTGCATCTTTATGAGATCTGCTGTAATCATTGCTATTTTCAGTGAATGGGTTAAAGGATCTTTGAGTCTGCATGATAATGTAGAGAATTCACTATTAACCCGTTTTATCTGAATCTATGTTTGACTCTGTTGCCTAGAATGGTTTTATAATTGCCCCCACCCAAGAAAGACATTTTAATTTTTCTTCAGATATTTGCTGAGACTGTTTTGAGCTCTGGCATGCATGGTTACATGTCCATTGAATTTTTATGCACTTCACTGTACCATTCATATCATGTTTTGTATTCAGGTTCTGTTATTTAACCCTAAATTTCTTCCGGTGATTTCAACTACCTGCAGAACCGTCACTCGTACGAAAAGCCGGTCAAAATTTACAATTGAAATTTCTAACTGGTCTGGCATCATGGTGAAGTACTCCATATGAGAGGAGCAGCCAAAAAAGGGAGGATAAGGAATTTATACTGGCAGGGGAAACCTCATAGTTGTTAACCATTCGGTGTGCCATGACCATGTATTCCAGTGCTACAGGCCGGCTGCTGTCATCTCATCTGTAGCAGCCATCTCCCATAGCAATGATTTTTTCAAGATTTTCCTTTGCCCTCTGGTGATGGTGCGAGCCATTGATGTCTGTTTCGGTTGGGTACAAGGGTGCTCCAAGGGCAGATATTTCCTCATTCTTAGAGCAAAGTTGGGTACATACGATTTTGGTAGGAGGCGTGTATACAGGCAGGCGGTATAGTTGTGACTCTCTCTCGGCTTGACCCCGCTGTCGTACTGTTGTTAATGTAATGACAGTGGTTGACTGTAAATTGGTTCCAATTTCCACCTTCCATCGCATGTCTGAAAAAGGAGAGTAATTTTGGGGCCTTTCAGAAACATGCAATATTTGGCATCTTGTTGCAATAAACTACAACTTGCTCAAGGACCTACTGCTTCGATCATCGCTAAAGCAAGAAAAAATTTGTAGGTTTTTATTTTTGTTTATTTTTGCAACGTTGTCGTGATGAAATATAGTTGTATGCTTCTTAAGTGGACCCAAAAGTTGTAGTTTCCTACTGCTTTAGTTAACAATAGTGGTAGGTTAGTTTCAAAAAAAAAAAAATCCCATAGTGGCAGGTTTTTGAACTCTTGAATAACTTGCTCAGAATTTGTAATGAGGCGGAGACAAAACTCAGTAGCATCGGTTTTGTTTGGAAATAAGCATCTATTTTTTTTTGACAACAACACATTATATAACGTTATGAAAAAAGTTTTCCTAGGATACAGAGCAAGGAACTGTAAAAGAAATTGTTAAAGCACAATTGTAGACATACGTGATGTTTTTGTCGGGGTCAAAAGAAGTGGCCACGGTAAAAACATCGAGGGTCCTTATCCTCGCATTCTTGCATTCCGATAATGTAGCCAGGGTCCTTATCCTCGCATTCTTGCATTCCGATAATGTAGCCAGCAGTCTTCTTGACTGTTTAATCGGCCTTCGTCTTCCAGGATAAACGATCCTGAGTCATAGATAAGACATAAGTTTTACCGTACTCAAGAAAATGGTTCCACAACCATGTTACCGGCGACCCGAACTCTATTACTATATTACGATAGGATAAGTGGATCAAGGTCTCGAGCACCGGCGACTCGCCGTGCCCGCCGCCGCCGTCGCCCTCAAGCACAGTTCACGAATAATGACCAAGTCAAGTTTGTCTTTCCTCGCTACCGTTACAAGAAGGGGTAGAGAGCCACCTCCGACATGGGCCACGCAGGTCCATTCTGCACGCAAGTCTTCATGGGCTCAATTGATCCACAGCGGCCCAGAGAAGCACGGATTCATCTTCTTGTCTCGCGCCTTCCTTCCGCTTCCCGCCAACTTGGTCCCTAAGACGTCTTCTGAGTTTACGCCACCAGCTTCAAAGGTTTCTTCAGGGTCACCTTCATCAGGGCGCTCCTCTGCATCAGTTCCGGTCACCGAAGTGGCACCGGTGACACCCCCCCTCCCTTGAGTACCAGCTTGCCCCCAAGCTGGAGCACGGGGAAACTGCTGTCGCAGGTCCTCTTCATCTTCCCAGGTGGACAGAGCAGGTGGTAAGAAGGACCACTGAACCAGAACTTGTGGAACAGTAACATCATTGTGTTGACGTAGGCGACGATCAAGAATCACCTGGGGTACCTGCAACTGATTAGTCGGATCAGGTAATTCAGTACTTACTGAAGTTGTCTGTGGCACTGCCTTCTTCAGTTGAGATACATGGAAGACTGGATGAATATGGCAATTCTCAGGAAGCTGAAGCTTGTAAGCTGATGTGCCAATCTTTTCCAGAATCTTATATGGGCCAAAAAATCTGAAAGATAACTTGTTGGATGATCTGGTTGCCAAGGAAGTTTGCACATAAGGTTGAGCTTTCAGATAAACTTGATCACCGAGCTCAAAAACTCTGTCAGATCTGTGTTTGTCAGCTTGGAATTTCATTTTGTTTTGAGCCCTTATCAGATGCTGTCTGACAACATGTTGCATCAACTCCCTTTTAGCAAGCCAATTGTTCAGATCAGCCACTTGGCAGGATTATGACAGGTCAATGCCAAAGTGTTTTGGTTCATGGCCATATAACACAACAAAAGGAGTTTTGCCCAAGGAAGAGTGAAATGTGGTGTTATACCAATACTCAGCAAGTGCTAACCAATGAAACCATCTAGTGGGGCAAGTGTGGACAAAGCATCTTAGGTAGGTTTCAAGGCATTGGTTAACCCTTTCAGTTTGACCGTCGGTTTGTGGGTGATAAGCACTGCTCATACGGAGGTCAATGTGAAGTAGTTTGAAGAGTTCCTGCCATAGGTGACTAGTGAACACCTTATCCCTGTCAGACACTATGGCAGTAGGGAGGCCATGTAGCTTGAAAATATTGTTCAGAAATAATTGGGTGACTTGGAAGGCTGTGAATGGGTGTGACAAGGCTAAAAAGTGAGAGTATTTGGAGAATTTGTCAACCACCACTAAAATGCAATTGTAACCAGCAGATTTGGGCAAGCCTTCAATGAAATCTATGGTTACAACTTGCCAAGCCCCATCAGGTATAGGTAAAGGTGCTAACAGGCCAGGGTAAGCTACGCGTTCTGTTTTGGCTTGTTGGCAAATAGAGCATTGAGCTACAAATGTTTTAACAGACTCCTGGAGTTTAGGCCATGCAAACAGATTTTTAATTCTGTGATATGTGTCTTCTACACCTGAGTGACCACCAATAGCACTAGTATGCAAGGAAGTTAAGATTTTAGCTTGCAAAGAACTGTTGAAGCCAATCCATACCCTGCCTTTATACCTGATCAATCCATCTTGTAGTGTATAATGGCCCACAGAATTCTGGACAGACAATTCAGTGAGTAGCTGCATAGCATGACTGTCTTGTTGATATCCAGTCTGAATATCTTGCAACCACACAGGTTTGACAATAGACAGGGATGAAATATCATAAATATCAGTCTGAGTGACTCTTGACAAGGCATCTGCCACTCTATTTTCAGACCCCTTTTTATAGACAATCTTGTAAGAAAGCCCCATGAGCTTGGTCAAGGCCTTGTGTTGCCAAGGTGTGGACAACCTTTGATCTTCAAGATGAGTCAAACTCTTTTGATCAGTAAGAATCACAAATGGTGATGTTTGAAGGTAGTGGCGCCAATGATCTACAGCCATAATGATAGCCAGATATTCTTTTTTCATAGGTAGACAGTCCCTGTGCCTTAACTCCCAAAGCTTTGCTCACGAAGGCAATTGGATGACCTTTCTGTTGGAGTACAGCCCCTATACCCTTTGCTGAGGCATCAATCTCAATAGTAAATGGCAAGGAGAAATCAGGCATTGCTAAAACTGGAGCAGTGATGAGGGCCTGTTTAAGTGCCTGAAATGAGGCTTCTGTAGCAGAAGTCCAAACAAATAGAGTTCCCTTCTTGAGTAAGTCAGTCAGAGGTTTACTGAGTAGATCAAACTGGGCAACAAACTTTCTGTAATAACCTACCATTCCCAGAAAGCTTCTCAAATCTTTTACATTATGAGGTTGTGGCTAGTTTTTGATGAAGTCAATTTTTGTGGGGTCTGTAGGCAACACCTTGAGCACTGACCACATGGCCCAGATAGGTTAGCTGGTGCTTTGCAAATGAACATTTAGCAAGCTTCACATGAAACTGATGCTGTTGTAAAATAGCAAGCACCTCTGCTAAGTGATGAAGATGGTCCTGCCAGGATTTGCTGTAGATGAGTATATCATCAATAAAAACAACTACACATTTCCTCAGTAATGGAGCCAAGATAATGTTCATAACAGCTTGAAATGTGGCTGGACCCCTTGTGACTCCATAAGGCATGACACAGTACTCATAGTGCCCATGATGAGTTTGAAAAGCAGTTTTGTATTCCTCTCCTTTTGCCATCCTGATTTGATGAAACCCAGAGCACAAGTCTAAAGAGGAAAACCATTGAGCTCCATGTAGTTCATCCAACAAATCTTCAGTGAGGGGTAAGGGATATTTGTTCTTAGTGGTAAGAGCATTTAAGCGTCTGTAGTCCACACATAATCTCCAGTCACTAGTCTTCTTTCTCACCAGTAAGGCAGGTGAAGAGAATGGGCTTGTACTGACTTGAATCCACCCTTTTTCAAGCATTTCAGCAATTTGATTTTCAATTTCACTTTTTTGGGAAGGGTTGTACCTGTATGGCCTTAAGCAGAATGGTTGAGCCCCCTCCAACAATGGAATCTTATGGTCTCCAGATCTTTCTGGTGGCAGGGCAGTAGGTGGTGCAAAAACACTCTCAAATTGCTGTAAGAGATCTTGGAGTTCTGTAGGTAAAGGTGGTGAGGTGGAGGTGCTGTGTTCCTTGGCTTGCAACTAGACCACATATAAGATGGAATCAGTTCTGTCCAAAGCCTGGAGTTGGTACTGAGAAACTGGTGCCCTCATTTGCACAGAAGGAAGAATACCTTGTAATTTGATGAACTTGTTGTTATGTTGAAACTGCAACCATTTGTCAACCCAGTGGATCTCCATGGGACTATGTAACTCTAACCAGTCCATGCCTAAGACCACATCATAGCCTTTCAATGGTATAATTTTCAGAGTAGTGTGGAAGGAATGCCCTTGAATAGCCCAAAGTTGCTCTGATAATTCATGAGTACAACTGATTAATTCTCCATTAGCCACTTGTACCTTGACTAGGTGTTTTAGCTGTTGACCAGAATCCAGATAGGGAAGTAATTGGTCACTGATGAAACTGTGAGTGCTTCCTGAATCCACCAACATAAATACTTCCTTGCCTTGTAAGTGACCTCTGAGTCTAATAGTTTTGGACCCCTCAGTTCCACTCAGTGCTTGTACAGATAGAGCCATCAATTCATCATCTGAATCTGTATCTTCTTCAAAAATAAAATCCAGTTCTAACCCTTCAGTAACACA